GTGCAAGAAACCAGATCATTGAAGTCCACTTTATCACAACCCACACGCCCGATCACCTATATATCCATGAACTTACGGTTACAGCTCAACAGCTGGCCTCTGTAGTCTGTAGCTCAGTTGGTTAGAGCGCTGCACTGGAATCACAGGGCCATAGGTTCAAATCCTACCAGAGGACCTTGTGCTGCATTTTTCGCAGTCGTTCCTGGTGAGGTCTTAAAGTGTATATATACTCACTTGGATAACAAAACCTAAAAACAGCATTCTAATGCCAAGGCAAAACCCTAGTTTAATTTAATTTAAAACCCTTGTGTCTCATTTCAGAATTGACTACGTATACATATAATAAACTCTGCAATATTATATTCCAGATAGTATCTGACCATACATTTAACCGCATTTATAGGGCAGAATGTTTTCATCCCTGCTGACCAAACCATTTTGAATACCATGGAATACCAACACCATTTTGGTTTTAGATGCGTCCAACACCATTTTGGTTTTGGGTGCATCCAACACCATTTTGGTTTTGGATGTGTCCAACACCATTTTGGTTTTGCATATGTCCAACACCATTTTGGTTCTGGATGTGTCCAACACCATTTTGGTTTTGGTTGTGTCCAACACCATTTTGGTTTTGGATATGTCCAACACCATTTTGGTTTTGGATGTGTCCAACACCATTTTGGTTTTGGATGTGTCCAACACCATTTTGGTTTTGGATGTGTCCAACACCATTTTGGTTTTGGATATGTCCAATACCATTTTGGTTTTGGATGTGTCCAACACCATTTTGGTTTTGGATATGTCCAACACCATTTTGGTTTTGGATGTGTCCAACACCATTTTGGTTTTGGATGTGTCCAACACCATTTTGGTTTTGGATGTGTCCAACACCATTTTGGTTTTCCATATGTCCAACACCATTTTGGTTTTGGATATGTCCAACACCATTTTGGTTTTGGATGTGTCCAACACCATTTTGGTTTTGGATGTGTCCAACACCATTTTGGTTTTGGATGTGTCCAACACCATTTTGGTTTTGCATGTGTCCAACACCATTTTGGTTTTGGATATGTCCAACACCATTTTGGTTTTGGATGTGTCCAACACCATTTTGGTTTTGGATGTGTCCAACACCATTTTGGTTTTGGATGTGTCCAACACCATTTTGATTTTGGATGTGTCCAACACCATTTTGGTTTTGGAAACGTCTAACACCATTTTTGTGTTGGATGCAACAACGCCATTTTGGATTGGATGCCACTAACACCACCTTGGTTCTGTTGGATGCATGCCGCACCATTCCATAGATTTCTACATTCTCTAAACTTACTTAACAACCCAATATCTCTGCGTCTATGAAATTTGACGATAAGTAATCAAACCTCGGTCATATAAAGTTGATGATTATGGAACAAAACTCCTATTTCCTCTTAGTAATGTATCTTCCCACAAAAGTTTGGATAATATTTTATTGCTATTTGATTTTTATCACAGAAACTTGCCAATGTCGACACTGGCATGAACATTAGAATGTTATTCCTCAAATATATCCAGAGTTTTATGCAAGTTTGATAATTACACAATAAATGCGCGAATTGTGCATGACATAACAATTAACTTTCTGGACATTATTATTGAAAATTGTAATCATTCTCATAAAAAATAAGTTTATACTTTTTCCATACTGCAATGCAGTTGAAATAGACTTTTCGTCTAAATGGTTGGTTTAAAATTTCTTGTTAAATGAAACGAACATTTGAAAATATTGCCACACAGCCTCGGAGACGTTATGATATTTGCAATTTTTGGCAACCTTTATCCAAAATGTTCAACATTTATTGCAAATTCTTCATCAAATCGTAAGAATTGTCTAATTTTGAGCTGAATAGAATATGCAACCCTATCGTAGAACGTGTTCTATTCTACCTGATTGGATATAACCTATAGATTGGATATAACTATCCAACAATTCTTGTATAATTACTCCTAAGGTATTAATAAGTGATACTTGGGCAAACAGTCCAGAGTCGATAAGTAAAATTGTCTCACATGAGACATACATTTCAGAGTTAAATATCAAAGTACTTAAAGTAGGGAGTGTTAGGGTAAATTGCCTTTCTTTTGCTCCCGTTAACTACTTTTTGCAAAACAAAAATGTCACTCCATTCTTTAATTTAAGACAAACCATACCAACTGCTTTTCGACCACCCCCTTTCGCATCATATTACGACACAATTTTTCTAATAGAAATATCTCGGCGAGTATTTACCCCCCTTTTAAATAAAATCCACCATTGTAATCCTCATAAAATAACCTTTCAAACGGGGGGTCAAGTGCCGTCTGAAAATTACACCAACCGAAACAATCATATATTTACTCACCGCTTGGCCAAAGATTCTAAATTTCATATCCACAAGATCTTGAATACCCCTTGAACTTTTCGACATTTGCTGAACGGCTATATGTGTAAAATACTCTTTGTATTCAAGCGCTTTCGTGTACAAAGTTTCGTATGTATACGCCGACTAGAAATATTTATTTTGAAATTTTCAAGATGAGGGTTTTACTCGCACTTGCGTACATTGCGCAATAATTGGCCAATAATAAGCTCCTTTGGCCGGGATGACGTCAAACTCACGCGTGTAGGTGCAATTTGACCTTGCGAATCCATTTCTGGCCTTTGCAGGGTCATACGATACAAGCTTCGAATTGTTTTGACGGTTTTCTGTCGTATTTCCGGTTGGGATTAATTCACTTCGAGCTCACAATCGGGCAAGAAATGGAAATATATTGATAAAAGATACACATTTGAAGACACAGGCTTGCAAATAACACTCTGAGTAATGTTTTTAATGGGGATTTTAACAAGACTATTACAAAGACGATGTCGATATGTTCGAAAGGGCCGAAGTTATTTTCGGCCAAAGGTACGGCTTGTCTATATTTTTGTTCAGACAATTGTGTAATTTGATACAATATGATCGTGTTTGGCTCCAAAGGCCCATAAATCGCTACAATGTTGATAATGACTGTAACTATAGGGAGGAATTAGTTGAATCTTGTATTTCTGAACAAAATCTTACAAAATACAACCATTTGCGATTATTGCGAATATATATAGAAAATACTGATGAAAATTCACCAAAATTTAGTGAAATTAATTTGACTTACTCATTTTGCCCGTCTTGAGTTCTGCTTGTTGATTTGCGGTAATATACTGTTCGAGTGTTCGGTGCGTAATAACAGGATAGTCCCAGTGCTATATAATACATTCAGCGTCTTTTCCATCGTACGTAAATTTGGCCATACATTCAAGAATCTCAAATGTGCACTTAAAATCAATTCACATGTTAAACGAAACACACTAATAAATAATTCGAGAAACGCTTTGATACTAGACTGCTTTGTTAAACTTACCATGAACTAACAGCTACGGTTTTCGCAAATATCGCCTCAAGACCGTCTTCACCTGTTTTGTCTTCCTCATAGTCATTAGTCACTATCAGCAACTGGCTCGAACTGATATGGCTGTACAACAGACGATTGTGGCTCAACACGTCCTCGTTATCTGTTGGCTGTGCTGTATCTGTCTGTGATTCGAAGCTTTCGCTATCGGACATTTTTTGAGTTTTTAAGGAAAAATATACAAGCTACTGTCTTGCGATTAGTGATATTTTGTAGTTTTCATTCAAGTAAACACTTGGATGTGTCACACTGCATACGTCACAAGGCCGGAATTTTCGGTACCAGTCTTTTCATCAGGTAACGATTCAAAATAGCTGTATTTGTCGTACATTTTAGGTCATTTCCAATATTTTTAGAGCGTTTTTACTAAGTAAAAATATTTTTACCTAGTTAAGGGAGGTCATTTCTTTCCAAATTTCGAAATTTTAATTTTTTAATTTTTCCTTGCATATACAGTTTAAGTACAAGGTAGTGTTAAGCAGTGCTAGTGTGTTCAATTATTAAATAAATTGTCTTTGATATGAGTTGATATTACAATTTCACAGTTGACTGTTAGCCAGTCAGAAACCAGAAATAAGATAATCTCCATAGTTTGTCATAATCATCTCCGAGCCGGCGGCGCGAAGCGCCGTGCGAGGGTACTAATTCCCCCCGGCTATTTACTCCCGGGGAAACAAAAGCATTAGCGGAGTCTAAAGTTCATCAAATATCGCGGGCGTGGGTGACCAACCGTGGGTGGTCATCCTCACTGATCTCAAATATATGACGGACTGTCATGAATAGCGGACACTGATTGGTCCAATTTAAAATTTGCATTATAAGGATTATAACGACTGCATGACGACAGCGAAATAGCAAACATTTCTTGATTTGATGATTGATGAATTTTTTGTTCGCATTTTTGCAAGATTTTGTAAATTTCGAAAGTTTTCTCATAAAGAAAGGGCGAAAGAATCGGCTAAAGGAAGGGAGCCGACGTTAACGAAGGTAAGTTTGTTTTAAATATTGATTTTATAATGGATTTCAAACCCGACGGCCTTTGCGTATATGAAACAACTAAACAAGACAGCATATAATTTCAGTGTATCTTTAACATTGATTCCCTTTTTTATTATATTGAATTTTTTAAATAAAAAAGAAAGCAAAGTTATTTGCAAGCGAGAATTTGAAATCATTTTATTGCAAACTCAAAGTTTATCGATAAAGCCATTTAATTATAAAAGGCTGTTTAGTTTTATAAAGAACACTTTTTAAAACGTTTTGCGAAGCGTTTGTGGTTGAATTTTATCTTAAATTGAAGCCTATATTACGTATAATAACATACCTAACATATATATGTTGGGAAATTGATAACTTTGTAATTAAAAGTGATATTTTTAGGAGATTTGTAAGAATATTCTTAAAAAATTATCGTGTTACCATGACAACTGCTCTAGATACTTCATGTTCGGAAAATACAATGGTTTTGTCAGCAAGGCGAGGGTTTCTGCATGCATGTATTTTCTAGTCATGAATTAAATAACATGACTATTCATATTCGTACAAGGTAATGCAGGGTGTAATATGTATACTGGGTTTGGTGATTAATCCAAAACTACAAAGTCCTCTGGCAGTAATCAAACCTATGGCCCTGCGATTCCTGGTCCTAGGTCTTAATTAATTGAATAGTGTCTATACATATCAGTGGTGTAACTTTACTTTTTTGACCACTTGCCCTCAGGGCAAGTTGTACATGAAAATTAGTTGCCCTGAATAAAATTCACTTGTCATCAGACAATGGCCACTGGGATACCTAGTAAATAGTAATTAGCGATGCAGACTGTGGGCGTACCACAGGTATATAATAGCTTGTGTACTTAGGAATAGGGTTCAGTTTAATAAAGTATATATACAAACGGGTTCATGTTTCAAAACATGGTGTCAGGAGTGGGATATTTAATATGTTGAAGATAAACGCGCCTAAAAACTTCGAATTTGCTAAGCCACAACTGTGGCCTGAATGGAAACAGCGCTTTCAGCGTTATAGAATAGCGACGAAGTTAAAAAAAAAAGACGATAAAATTCAAGTCAGCACGCTTATATACTCGATGGGAAAGCAAGCAGAACACGTCCATAAAACCTTTAGACTTGAGAAAGGCGAAGAAGAAGAATATCAGACAGTTCTAGCACAATTTGATGCCTATTTTGTCCCGAAACGAAATGTAATTCACGAGCGAGCCCGGTTTTATCAACGCCGACAGCATGCAGGAGATACTGTTGAAGCGTTCATCCGAAGCCTGTATGAATTGGCAGAGAACTGTGATTTTGCCGATGCACGAGACGAACAAGTTCGAGATCCGGGATAGTTATTGGACTATTAGATAAAAACGTGTCGCAAAGGTTACAGATGAAAGCCGGTTTGGATCTACAATCGGCGGTAGAAATAGCAAAACAATCGGAGTTAGTTAAAAGCCAATTGATCGAGCGTGAGTCATTAGAGACAAAGCAGATTGACGAAGTGCAACGACAAAGGAATTATCGCCGAGGTGATTGGAACAAAAGACAGACGTTATCATTTCAACAACAACAGCGGTGTGGTAGGTGCAATAGGAAGCATGTTAATGAGTCACAATGTCCTGCAAGAGGTAAGAAATGTAGAAAATGTGCTAAGATAGGGCATTTTGCCGCTGTGTGTAGAACTAAAACTGTACAAAGGAAAGCTGTTGGTGAAATTTCAAAGAAGTCGGACGAACTTGTCCGAGAGTGGGACGAAACTTTCTTTTTGGGTTCCGTCATGTCATGTAACCGGGACAAAGATCCCTGGCAAGTTGACCTTAAGTTGAATGGGCAACCAACTAAATTTAACATAGATACCGGAGCTGATATAACAGTCATACAAGAAGCCATTTATAGTAATTTAGTACCACGTCCACTCCTTCAATCAACAACAGCTGTCCTTCAAGGTCCTGGGGGAATAATTGCATGTATTGGTGAAATAACTGCAATTTTTTCATATAAATTGGTGGAATATTCAGTTCGTATTGTTGTTGTTCGGGAAGAAAATGTGAACTGTTTGCTGGGTCGAGAACTTTCCACTCAAATGGGTTTGGTTAAAAGAGTGCATGAAATTACTGATCACAGCGTATTTGGAGATATAGGGCTCTTGAAATGTGAATCCGTCAAGATACATTTACACGATAATGCTAAACCTTACAGTGTGAGTACCCCGAGGCGTATATCCTTTCCTCTACTGCCATTGGTGGAAGCCGAGTTGAAAAGAATGAAAGACGAAGGAATCATTGAAGAGGTGACAGAGCCAACTGAGTGGTGTGCCCCTATCGTCCCAATCCCAAAGAAGAATGGTCAAGTACGAATTTGTGTTGATTTGAAGAAACTAAACGAGGCTGTTAAACGCGAAAGATGTGTTTTGCCCAGTTTAGATGATATTGCGCCTTCACTTCATGGATCCGAAGTGTTCTCAAAATTAGATGCTGCTAGTGGATTTTGGCAGATCCCTTTACATCCTAAAAGCTCTAAATTGACGACCTTCATTACCCCGTTTGGTCGATTCTGTTTTCGAAGACTGCCCTTTGGGGTATCCTCCGCTCCGGAAATTTTCCAAAGATTGATGACCGATCTACTTCAGGAAAACCTGGTACCAAAGTGATTATGGATGACATTTTGGTATATGGGAAATCGGTTGAGGAACATGACTCTAATTTGGAAGAAGTCCTGAATACTGTACAAATTTCTGAACTCAAGTTGAACAAATCGAATTGCGAATTCCGCAAAGAAAAGCTGGGATATTTTGGTCATCGCGTGGGTAAAAATGGCGTTAAACCCGACCCTGAAAACGTGCGAGCCATCGTCGAGTTATCGCCTCCAACCAGTGTGTCTGAATTACGAAGATTGTTGGGTATGATCAACTACTTGGGGAAGTTTTTGCCAGATCTGTCGACGGTATTACAGCCTTTAAATGATCTTCTAAAAGGGAGTTCCACATGGGTTTGGGGCCCGTCCCAAGCAGAAACTTTCGAGAAGGTGAAGCAGCTGATATCTTCTGCTCCTGTGTTAGCGTTTTACGACCCGAATCGCAAGACGGTAGTCAGTTCTGATGCCAGTAGTTACGGACTCGGTGGTATGTTACTTCAAGAAGGAGATGATAAATCTTTACGACCAGTTGCATTTTGTTCTCGGACTTTAAGACAAACGGAACAGAATTACGCGCAAATAGAGAAGGAATGCCTTGCAGCAGTTTGGACCTGTGAGAAGTTCTCTCGTTATTTGTCTGGCCTTCCCGTATTTGAATTGCGAACAGACCTGTAAGTTGCAGTATTTCCCCAATAAAACGTCAGCGAAACGCACGATATATTCCAGTAGAATAAACAATCCAAATGTCCAAAAGGATATATAATATTTATTGATACAAAGTCAAAATATATAATCTCACTGTGTCACCGTGTCAACGTGTGGTTTCTAAACAATAAATTTACAAAACATAGATATTTAACTATACAAATACGATTACAAACAATAAAACGATACAAGACAAATACCTGACTGTTAGTCCTCTGGCTATACTACAACACTACAACGTTCAAACAACTTTTATAAAGCACACAAATCAACGCGAGTTCGTCTCTCGAATATAAAGCAAAACATGTGTTCGTCTCTGCCCGATCGCGGGTTAATCCCTAAATTCGGGCTTGACCTAGCTAGATCCTACACCGGCCCCTATCGCCTAATGCGATACTACAAAGAGGATCTAGATAACATAATACGAACAAGTTTAAATAAGACAGTTCGAAGCACTTATTGATCACCGTCTATCTTTGTCTCTTCCAACATGCACAACTTTCGCACATCTCTCCTGAATTTTCCACTTCTGGTTCGAATAATAACTTGACGAACGGTTCCATGTTCATCCGGAAAAACTTCTTCTACTATTGCCATTGGCCACTGTCCGCGAGGGCATCCACTGTCGACCAATAACACGAGATCCTTTACTTGAACATTTCTCGCTTGCTTCCGCCATTTCTGCCGCAGTTGTAATGTGGGTAAATATTCACTAATCCAACGCTTCCAGAACGAATTCGCTAACACTTGTGCTTGCCTCCATCGTCTGCCGAAACGATCCGCACCCACGAATACACCGAGCGGTAAACACGAGTTAGATCTCAGGAGTAACAACTTACTCGGGGTTAACGGGTCTAAATCGTCAAGTTGACCTTCACCACGTACAAGCGGTCGATCGTTGAGTATTCTCTCTACTTCTACAAACAAGGTTACCAGTGTCTCATCATCGAGTGTTTGTTCGGTCGTCAGAGCAGCTAAAATCCGTCGGATGGAACGAATAACTCGCTCCCATACTCCACCAGTGTGGCTCGCCGATGGTGGATTAAAGTGCCATGTTACACCCTTCATCCTCAATTGGTCGTAAATCTTCTTCTGCACTTCGTCCGACTGGATGTTCTCGAATTCGTCTTTTAATGTACCGGAGGCTCCGACAAAGTTTGTCCCGTTGTCGCTGTACATATCTGTCGGGATACCTCGGCGCGCCGTAAAACGACTGAAGGCACACAAAAAGGACTCTGCGTCGAGGGAATGCGCTACTTCGATGTGAACCGCGCGTGTTGACATGCACGTAAAGACACACCCGTATCTCTTAACCATACTGCGACCTCTTTTGACGAGGAGAGGTCCAAAATAGTCCACTCCAGTTGATGCAAACGGATTTTCACAGGCAGTGACACGCGACGTGGGAAGTGGAGCCATGATCTGCTCGCACGGTGATGCATACATTTTACGACAGCGAATGCACTTATCGATAATCCATCTGATTCTAGATCGCCCTTGGAGGATCCAATACTCTCGTTGGATTGCTGTAAGGACTGTTCGAACGCCTGAATGACCCTCCTTCTCGTGGTAATGCCGTATTAATAAATCGACAAGGTGGTGCTTGCTGGGAATCACGACTGGATGCTTCGCGTCGAAACTTATTTTTGCTCGATTCAACCGACCGCCAACTCTCACCAAGCCATATTCTCCCATAAATGGCGATAGTGCCGACAATCTGCTCGATTTCTTTACGATTGGACGGGTTCCGTGGGAGCTTTTCGGTTTTAGTTTCAGGCAAGCGACTTCGTTGGGAAATGCTACGCGCTGAACGTAACGGATGAGGCGTATCTTTGCCGTCTGCAACTCTTCGACTGTCAAAGGCTGTTCTCCGGCCCCAATGACTCTACGCTGCTTCAACGAGTTCGAACTTTCGGACGACGGATTTACTTGTCGGGAATCTTTCATGCCAAAAGTATCTTGTACGAAGTGGAGGAACCGGATGAGCCACGCTATCCCTTTCAGCAGGCGGTACCATGAGGAATAGTATTGGATAAAGGAATCTAGCGGATCTCCTTTGCGAACTTGCGTCTCGTAAATTTCGACTTCGCGCTTCCATTCCAGACTTTCGTCCGACAAAACATTCACCCCTTCTGGACGCGCAGGCCAGTTAGATTCATCATTATGCAGGAATTCCGGCCCGTTTATCCAAAGATTTATCTCGCGCTCGTCACTTGGTCGTAAGCCTCTGGATGCAAAATCTGCCGGGTTTGCTTTCGAGTTGACGTATCGCCACTGCGACGGATTCGAATTCTCGTGAATGATGGCAATCCGGTTTGCGACGAACGTTTTGAAGCGGCTAGCCTCGTTATTGATATACTGCAAGACACACGTTGAATCTGTCCAGAATAGAACGGACTCGATCTTCAAATCTAGCTCCTCTCGAATCTGGATATCCTGCTTTACAGCTACGGTTGCTGCTGTTAGTTCTAGCCTTGGAATGGTTGTGGGTTTTATGGGAGCAACTCGGGATTTTCCCATCACCAAACTGCAATGGATTCGATTTTCCATGTCCGTAAAACGAAGATAGGAAACGACGCCATAACCGTCAAATGAAGCGTCAGCGAAATGGTGCAACTGGATACTCCTCAGTTCGACAGAATGACTTGGCTTGAAACATCTTGGAACGCTGATGTTCACCAACTTAGGCAGATCGTTCAGCCATCGTTCCCACGCATCCAGCACTTCTCGCGGAATCTCTTCATCCCATCCCACTTTGTCCTTGCATAGTTGCTGTAAAAGACGTTTGGCCGGCAAAACAAACGGTGCGGCAAACCCGAGAGGATCGTACAGAGAACTGACGTCCGAGAGAATCCCTCGTCGAGTGAGCGTTCTCTTTCTTCTTATTACCCGGAAACCGAATGTATCTTTCTGTACGTTCCACTCCATGCCCAACGCTCTTTCTACTGGGAGTTCCTCGAGATCTAAACTAACGACAGACTGCGCACGTTCAGTTTCTGGAATAGAAGTTAGGACTTCTTTGCTGTTGCTAACGAACTTCGTTAGTCGAAACGAGCGTCTCGACAGCATCTCGCAAAGTTCCTGGATCAACTGAATAGCTGCTTGGTTGTTGGAAACGGACTTTAAGCAATCGTCCACGTAAAAATTCTTACGTATCGTCTCGATCGTTTCCGGACTGAACTCCTCTTTAAATTCCTCTGCGACCTTTCTCAGGCAAAACCCCGCACAACTCGGTGAAGATGTTGCCCCAAACAGGTGGATCAGCATCTGATATTCTTCCGTTGGTTTATCATAATCACCGTCCTCAAACCAAAGGAACCTCAGAAGATTACGATGCTCTAGTGAAACCCTTACTTGACAAAACATTGCCTCGATATCCGCCAAAAACGCAATGGGATCTTCGCGAAACCTCAGCAACACGCCTACGAGTTTGTTCGTCATGTCGGGACCCTGTAGTAGTTGCTTGTTCAGTGATACACCTTCGAAACTGGCGGCGCAGTCAAACACGATTCTCGGTTTTTCGGGTTTTTGAGGGTGCACAACTGGGTGATGTGGGAGATACCATACATCGCTGTTTTCTGGTCTCGCTTCGACAGGGGGGACTTGATTGATCTTGCATGCATACCCTTTGTTCACGTAATCATCGATTCCTTTCTTGTATTTGTCGTAGAGGTTCGGATCTTTCTTCAGTCTCGTCTTGAGGGAATTTAACCTTCGTTCTGCTAAACTCTTGTTGTTAGGGAAATTTGGTCTTTCACGCAATGGCAAATCCAGTTGGTAATGACTGTCCACGACAATGAGTGACTGCTCCATGATGGCCAGAGCCCTTTTGTCTTCCAGCGACATCTCCGAATCTTGACAATACGTCGTCTCACTAAAGTCCATTTGGAACATCTTGTTCACCTTCTCCGTCAAGATATCGTCCTCACTCCGAATAAAGAAGGAACTCACTTCGTTCGCAGACGCACTCTCCATTGGACCAGCGACTGACCAGCCAAGGGGCGTTCTAATGGCGTACGGCTCCTTCTTACGACCTCGGCGCTCTTCCAACTTCCAGTGTGCTTCGGGAACATCCGTACCGATCAGAATAGTCACTTCCGTATTATCCAACTCGGGAATAGAAATTCCATCGAAGTGACGCCACTTAGCAATGTCTTCTTTGTTTGGGATACAACTTCTTGCGACTGACAAAGACTTTACCGACAAAGCGTTTGGGATTTCGAGACAGTCTTTCTGACCCAAACCTTGAACGTATAAGAAGTGAGATCTCCCCGATTCTTGTGACACATTATTCATTGTAGTGAGCGTGAAATCTATTGGCTGTCCGTTCGAGTTCAATTCTTCGACTAGACTCTCTTTCACAAGGGTGGTATTTGAACCTTCGTCTCTTATTGCATAAGTTATCTTCTCACAACTTCTATCTTTCCCAAACACCTTTACAGGAATTACTCGTAAGCACACTCGATTCTTGATGGTTCCGGTGGCACCACAGTGACCAGTCTGAACATTTCCGGTTGGAGCTGCGTGTGAGTCTGGTTTTCTCTCTTCGTTTTGATTTTCTGGCACGTCTTTCTTTCCGTCCTTGGCAGTCTCTGCGGGATGGAGCATTGGATGATGGCGCTTTCCGCATCCTGGAACAAAACAGCCACGACTCCTTTTGCAGTTACTGGCGAAATGACCCTTGCAGAGACAAAGGTTACACAGTCTCTTCGTGTTTACGATGCTCTTTCGCTCTTCATAGGGCTTTCCTTGAAACTTAAAACACTTTTCGATCGTGTGACCATCTCTGTCGCAAAATAAACATTTTGGTCTGCCCGTCGGGTTCCCATGCCTTGAATGATCCCCAAAATGTCCCTTTATCTCCGTGTTTGAACCGTGTGATAGGTAAGTCGACACATTCCTGCCCACTTGAGACCCCTTGCCAAATTGCCTTTCGTTGTTGGATCTTGCACTTATGAGTCGACCATATTCAGTGTTGGCCAGCTTTGCCTTCTTAACAACAAATCTCGTCAGCTGCGCAAAGTCTGGTTCTTTACTCCGATCTCTTGAGTTTTGTGCCTCTTTGGCCCACTCCGAACGAAGATATCTTGGGAGACGCATGACTACAGCACTCATGTTGCTTCTTGAGTTGATATCAGCCTGATAGCCGAGTTTGTTCAAGTTCATCTCGCAATTCTCCATATCTCGTGCAAGCTGCATCAATCTTTCGTTCTCGTTCTCTTTGATTGGTCCCCCTCCAGTGATTTTATCGATGTGGGATGCTGCGACTATGTGTGTTTGTCCAAACATCTCATGTAAGATAGACTTGGCTTTAATATAACCTTCCTCTGCAGGTAACATTACTGTTCCACTTATAGCTTCCTTCGCCTTTCCACTGCATAGTTGTATCAGGAAGTTACGTCTAGCATTAGGGCTGGGCTCAATGTCTTCTACATTAGTTTTGAAATTCTCCATGAAGCTGGGATAGGTCAACGGGTTGCCATCAAAGGTCATATACTCTCTTCGTGGCATTTCGAATCCCTTGCTTATGGTAGTTCCAATTGTGCTTGCCATCAAGTTGAGGGCTTGTTGTTGATGCTCAAATATCTGCTGGGCAGTGGTATCGGGTTCTGGTAATGATACATTATTGGTGATATAGGTCCCCAAATGTTGTGGGTTGTGTTGACCACTGAGATACCGGGGAACAAACACGGGGGGTTGCCGCCCTTGTATATTGAGTGATTGTTCACGATAACAACCAAGTGATTGCCCTGATTGTGGGTTTGGTTCCAATGGTAGGCGATCATGGAATGACGGTTGCTGGTCACCGTCCCGTGGCGGTCTTCTTGCATATGGTGGACTACACTGGGGGTGGTTTGGAAATGGTTGCATTCGACTCGGCTGTGGTGGAATCTCGCCATTTCGGGTAGTCTCTGGTAACTGTGCTGATGGTGAATTGTGGGTCTCCAAACTTGTTTGATTAGCTAATGTGACTCTTGGGATATCTGTGGTGTCTCTCGTAGAAGTTTCAATGTTGTTGTTCACACCACTAGCAGCTATAGGATGATCAACCTGTTCCTCCAAGTGATCCAATCTTTCTGGATAATCATCACCTCGATTTGACCTTGAATCTGGATCATCCTCATCATGTTCTAGCTGTTCTTGCATTTGTGCTTCTGCCAATCTTACCTCTAATTCATGCAATCTGCGCCTTTCTTCCAGCTCAGCTAGCTTCTTCTGTTGTTCCATTTCGTGTCTTTGCGTTTCTAAGTGTAACTCTCTCTGTTCCTGATCTAGTCTCTGTTTTTCCTTTAAATGCTTCAACTCTAGTTCGAGTTTAGTTCTGACAATAGTGGACCTGTTCGACACTCCTGACCTGATGCTAAGTGCAGGGGCAGATCGAGTTACCCTCTGCCGGGTCTCTCCCACGATAGGCTCAGTAATCTTGACTGGGCAAGTAGAATGGGCTCTCTCTGGCAATTCAACTCTGTTTACCCATTCTGCAGTATAATCCAAATGTTCCTGCCTTTGTTGCAGTAAATAACCCGAACTTCTTACTCGTTCGGTTGAATAATACCTGGATTGTTCTTCGGGTAGAGGGGGGCCCCTAGTACCCCTAACGACATCCATATCCAGACGTCCCGTATAATTCCTCTTCTCACTCATTGATAGTAAATATTGAAAAAAAAAAAACCTCTAAATATCCGTAAATGCGAACCAATTAAGGCAGTTTAAATCGCGTTCAACCAGTAAACGTCATGTAAGATAATCATAAAGTTTCGTCCAATACGTAGAACTTCATGTAAGACAATTTATATCTGCATACAAAAATGTCGGAAATGACATCAATTCAAATTTCAAATATAAATACCGTGAAGGTAGTCAGAAACTGTAAGTTGCAGTATTTCCCCAATAAAACGTCAGCGAAACGCACGATATATTCCAGTAGAATAAACAATCCAAATGTCCAAAAGGATATATAATATTTATTGATACAAAGTCAAAATATATAATCTCACTGTGTCACCGTGTCAACGTGTGGTTTCTAAACAATAAATTTACAAAACATAGATATTTAACTATACAAATACGATTACAAACAATAAAACGATACAAGACAAATACCTGACTGTTAGTCCTCTGGCTATACTACAACACTACAACGTTCAAACAACTTTTATAAAGCACACAAATCAACGCGAGTTCGTCTCTCGAATATAAAGCAAAACATGTGTTCGTCTCTGCCCGATCGCGGGTTAATCCCTAAATTCGGGCTTGACCTAGCTAGATCCTACAGACCATAAGCCTCTCGTACCGTTGATAAATCAGCAAACCCTAGACAAAGTTCCGATCCGTTGTCAACGCCTATTGATGCGTCTGCGTAGATTTAACATCATCTCTGTTCACATTCCTGGGAAAGATCTTGTTCTTGCCGATGCTCTGTCTCGAAGTCCGTTGATCTCCAACACCAATGTCAGCGACAACCTTGATGATGAGGTACAAATGTTCCTAAACGTAGTTGAGTCGAGTAGACCAGCGTCGAAAGAGAAGATTCAGTTAATAGAGAACGCAACTAAAGAAGATCAAGTGCTTCAAAAAGAAACAAAGTTAGTTCTAAGTGGCTGGCCAAAGTATCAGACGCAGGTTCCTGAAGAAGTACGATGTTTTTTTCCTTATCGTGGTGAACTTTCGTGCGTCGAAGGGAAATTAATTTATCGTGATCAAATAGTCATTCCAGCGTCAATGAGAATGGAAATGCTTCAGAGGATTCATGATGGTCATCTTGGGGTGACGAAATGCTTGGCACGTGCGAATTCCTCCGTTTGGTGGCCTGGTATTTCCAAGGACATTAAAGAGGAGGTTTCACGTTGTGAGTTTTGCCAAATTAACCAACCATCACAAATAAGAGAGCCATTGAAACCAACATTGTTACCCGAGCGTCATTGGCAGAAAGTAGCGGTCGATGCACTTGAATTAGACGGAAAGAAGTATTTGGTCGTAGTAGATTATTACTCCCGGTATCTTGAGCTTGTTTATGTACCAGATTTAACAAGCAGGACGGTGATAGCTAAGTTGAAGGGCATTTTCGCAAGATGGGGAGTTCCTGAAATCCTAATAAGTGACAATGGTCCACCATTTTCCTCAGAGGATTCTAGATCGTTTAGCGTTCTGTATGGGTTTCTCCATGTTTCGTCTAGTCCACAGTATCTGCAGGCAAGCGGAGAAGCGGAAATTGCTGTCAAGATAGCCAAGAGAATCTTGAAGCAAACGGATTCGTTCCTCGCGTTGATGGTGTATCGAGCAACTCCAATTCCAGCGACAGGTGTAAGTCCTGGTCAATTGATCATGGGAAGACAGATTCGCACAACTATTCCAACACTTATTCGTAATCTGTTACCAGCCTGGCCAGATCTTCTGACTGTACGCGAAGTAGACAAGGAATCGAAAGAAAGATATAGTCATGCTTATAACAAGAGGCATAGTGTGAAGTCCTTATCTGATTTGGAACCAGGTCAAACTGTTCGGGTGAAAACCGATAATCAGAAGAAAAGGAGCCCTGTTGAAGTTGTCAGTGGATATGGATCTACACCAAGATCATACATTGTTGACACTCCAGAGGGGAAAAAGATGCGGAGAAATAGACGACATCTTCAAGCTGTTCCTAAAGCAGTTTCTGACGACATTCTTGAAGACGAAATTTTTCAAGCGATTCTTGAAGTTGTTCCTGAGATCAATCCCGAAACAAGCGAATTGTCAAGAAGAGTGGCAGATCGAAGAAATCCAGAAAGAACGTTACAGAATACGGCAAGCCATATATATATATATATATATATATATATATATATATATATATATATATATATATATATATATATATATATATATATATATATATATATATATATATATATATTCAACGAGGCGTTGAACGCCGAAACATGCATGTCTGGAGATTGTACTATTACGCTCCTTCACTTCGGTGTTGTTGAGCACTCTGCGGAGTTGTTAATGGGTGTCTATTAGCGATAATGCAAAGCTCACTTCCCTTGTGGTCGTTTGAGCACTCTGGCCCCATTACGCTCTGCGCATGTCTGGATGCGTTGAGTCACCGTGTTGTACCACATGCCTTGGTGAGAGCAAGTTCATGAGGTATAAATACGAGTGTCTCGCGTATCTAGACGTGTACCAAGCTGCACTGACGAGGCGTTAAACGCCGAAACATGCATGTCTGCAGATTGTATTATATATATATATATATATATATATATATATATATATATATATATATATATATATATATATATATATATATATATATATATATATATATATATATATATATATATATATATATAAATATTTGTGTTATGAACCTTTAGGTTAGAGACTTTAGTAGTTATTTATTGGAATCGTAGATACAGATGACAAAGTACAAAAAGAACACAAAAAATATATATATATATATTACTTTCTTTAAGGAGGGAGATGTTATAATTAGAATATTGTAATTCAGTAAATAGTAATTAGCAATGCAGACAGTGGGCGTACCACAGGTATATAATAGCTTGTGTACTTAGGAATAGGGTTCAGTTTAATAAAGTATATATACGAACGGGTTCATGTTTCAAAACAGGGGGTATGAATTAAGGGGGAAATATGTCGACCTGTTCTCCCACTGCTTTATTTTAGGCCACCAAAAAGCAACCTTTGAATAAATCAAGATGCCCAGCTTTTTGTGGCAAGGCAACTTGCCCAATCGGGCAAGCAAGATAAAACGTATACTTGCCCGTCATGATATTCACTTGCCCCAGGCAAGCGGGCAAGTGTTAAATTACACCACTGCATATATATTGTATTATCAACCAAACCGAGTATTCTAGTCCAACCAAGTGAAGTGCAAATAATATCCTTAAAGTTGTAATATGTATAGTAGGCCTATGTTAAGCAGAGACATGACCATGGGCAGAGAGTAGGGATATGCTGGATTGTGTTACTGGCATCCGGCAAAATATAGGCCATCCAAAACTATCAATGCTGTGCAACAGATATTTATGCTTAATATATAAAGTGATAAAGCACATATTAAATAAACTATGGGCTACTGTTAGTGAATCTGATTATATTTGCTGATTTTTGAGAACAATATTTGGAGCCGGGGCTACATACAAGCACTGCCCAGCTCAAATATTAATCTTGAAATATAGAAAGACAACATTTGAGGCACTGTCTCAGCACTATCATTGCAAACATCACTTTATACAATCCACTATTAAAAGATTCTCCCCTTGACAAGTAAAATCTTCTGACAATTTTTATGGACAGAGTATTATGCAATACAGTAGAGGACTTGAGCTTGACACATTAAAGATAGATTTATATCGGCACACTAATAATAGCATATTAAATGCTGTCGTTCCTCTCTTATTCCAATCCTTATTGAAGTACTAAAATGCAAACATATCTTTAAAAGCATTCGGATGCTTAATAAATATTATTTCTTATAATTATTTACCCAGCTTGACCATAGTCTTAACTCTTACTCTTAAGGAAAGTGCTAAGTTATGCCAAAGAAAATATTGCTAAATTGTTAATAATAGTGTGAAATTTGGTAGTTATAGAATTCACAATAATAGGTTCGAATTTATATTTCATTCTTTCTTTGCTGCCAGAAACCAACATTTTGTATGTTTTATATGCAAATTGAACGCGGTAAATTCAAACATTCAACGGAATTTTACACATGGCCCACATGGCTCAAGTTAACAATCATATTCACCACATTATTTCGCAATTAAAGGGCTTAAATAATAAGTCAAATACAAAAGTATTCTTACCTGTGACATCTGAATAACATGTTAAGAACTTTCCGATTCCTTTCCCGCCGCTTGGATTAAAAACATCAACGAAATATTCCAAGCACCGCAGTGACCATACCAAATATTTTTTATCACAAATAAAACAATGCTATCCCATGAAGCTTTGCGCTCTGAAACGAAAACTAGTCACCCGGGCGTCCAGTTGAAGCGCGAACTATTGCTGTTTGGGATAAAATTCCAATAGGAAAGCTTGCATTAGGGACTATCAGGAATTTTATAATATTGAAATCCTAGCTAGCTAAACACATTGAGGCTAAAAACATAACCACTGAGTATTTTAGCAAAATACAAAACAAGTGCAACTCCAGTTAAAAGTCGATAACAATATATATATATATATATATATATATATATATATATATATATATATATATA